TCATTTTCTGTCACTCGTTCGTCGGATTCCATCCTGCGTCCCAACGCCACGGATAAATCTCGCGATCACTTTACCGCATGTTTGTGAATTCAATGAAGATATTAATTGCTTTCGCGGATCGTAGTATTCTGTTTCATGAAGATCAGTATAGGCGACACGTCTTATTCACTTTCTTTGTTTGCAATTATTGCGCTCTTGTTCACATTCACTATGGGCAAGAAGCGTCTAATTTGTCATACTACTGAAAGTAAAAAGGAATTGACAACTGCATGAATATAATTTAGTTTATCACAAAGATGTTAGTAAAAGGTTTATCGATTTGTCAGCTTCGTATTATAAAATCATGTAGTTGTATGTATTCGCTATTTATTTGTAGCAAACGGCTCTTGATTCATTGAAAAGATATTGCGTACGCGTTAATACTTTTAAATAAGCAGATTGTCATTATATGTTCACCTAAAACAAATACACAGAGTAATTTTACAGAATCAATTCATGGCTGTTTATTAAGAATGAAAATTTATTGTAAAACCCCGCATAGCATTCACATCTACATAGTTAAGTAGCAGTGGCATCATACAACCACTTTGTTGCGTAATAATATTTACCGTTTGTCAAATTTTGCTACCGTAATGCTCGCACCACTCGGCTGCGCTGTCGACTGTAAATCCTATTTTGTATTAATTTGTCGATCATGAAACGTATATGGAGCATTGATCATAGTTTTGGTGTTGATATACACAAATATATCAAAAGAGAGAGAGGTCAAATGTTGTTCGATACGATGTGCCTCGATAAGGCGCGCTACTGACGAAGTGCGCCACTACAATCTACTTCTCGTTCATGAACTATATAAATTTTACTTAATTATTTCATTGTCATACTCACTTTTTCCTTCCTTTTTCAGATTTATTTATATTCAGATCGTTAAAATACAAACGGCGCTAACAGCAATATGTACGCCGTAAGATGAATTCAGTCTTTTATCTATATGGACTAAGCAAGTAGTGATGGAGAATAACCAAAAAGGCCTATGCAGATAAATAGCACCTTTTTAACATCAGGGTTAGTGATGAAAGTTGCTGCAATGCAACGGCATAATAATCTATAACGCTAACAACAAGGTTGACGCTCGACGACCGACGACCGAGAGATGATGTTCTAAGCTGCTAGTAAAAAATATATTTTTCTTACAACACTTAGCTACAGGCAAATGCGAATGAGATGTATCGTAGGAGGTTTTCACGTTCGGCGATTCACATTTATCATACAGCGGGAAGTGTACTGCATATTTTCAGGTATTTAAGCGTACATTACGTAATTATTGACAGAAATGAGTCGTCGATCGGGCATTTAAAAATGGCAGGAAAATTTTGTAAACATTACAATATCCGCAAGCGATCGATTCTGATGGTGAGTAGAGACAGGAGTTGTATAAATTCTATGCATACTTGTAATGATTTTGTGAGGCTATTTGGGTCATGTGCGACATATGGCAATGTCACATCTAGAAAATGAAGAATCATGTACGCATATTGACTAGCCGTCAATATACAAGTGAATCTGAAAATAGGGCTAACAATGGTCGTATGTTCCATGATTAGCATAAGGCTGGGAAGAAATCAGTACGATAAGAATAAATCCAGGATTTGTCACAAGTCTCGTGCTCTAATATCAATATATTCGAGCATTTACATTAGCTACTGTAATAATTCATCATATTATAAATAAGCTGCTTTTCGTAAGGGGGGTGTCGTTTTAATCAAGCGACGAATCGGTTACTAATGAGAGGTATGAAATGTAGGGGAGATGTGGTTAATTGTAAGATAAGCCATTTGAAAAGCCTTGTTAGAACTATAATTGAAGCGCACGGACAGGATAAGCCGCGCGATACACATTTATATAGAAGTGTGTTCTTACAAATTGCATAGTGTTTGCATACTTGCAGGTTGCATTTTTTTAATAAAGAAGCGGACTCCGCATTACTCGAATAAATACGGTGATTGAGCACGAAAAGTAAATAGTAAAGCTACATCCGCTTCAGCGAAGGTAGCACGTCGCTTCTGTGTTGTAGATATGAAACTAGACCCGAAACTAGCATTAGTATTTCTACAAGTAGTTGTGTGTCCCCTCTTAGGATCGGGACGCTCCGTCGCACATTATTTTGCAGGAAGGAACTGTATCTGATTGAAAAGCTTACAATTGTACGGACTTGCTCGCTATAATATTTCACCGCTCTGTGACTGATAAAGATATAGTGCATCATACCTTCTTACAACATTAAATAAAATAGACCATTTCACTCACTCTTAGCCCAACGATACACTTGTAAACGCTTAATGTCAAAAAAACGTTTATTTGATGTTCATCTATTGTAAAATCGATAGAAATCGTTCATTTCAAATAATCAATTAATAAAATCCATGATTCGTACCTTGTATACAATAGTTTGACTATGATGTCACATAACTGTATATTTGTTTCAATCACATTAATATATATACCATTGAAATATCTACATGTAACGGGACACGCTCTTGTCAGATGACAAGAAAGACGTTGTGTTGACCGAACACAAGGATGCGTGCTTCCGACGTCACGTTCCCGTGGCGAGGAAGCGCAACCGAAGCAAACAGAACTCGAGAGCTCTGTCGGAGGGAATAGTAGAACTGTACTTAATATGGTTCTGTTTCGTTAATAGACTTTTTTGTCTTCATCTAACTAAATTATACTACAATCTCCTGGGTGAATTTTTTGCTCACCACCCAATGCGCGCGTCCAGCAGCGATTGGTGATTAAATTGGTTGATGTACACGGTACATCAACCAAGAAGTGGAGAACCACGAATTTTACCCTCGGGGGTAACATTGACTCTTTTCGAGTAATGTTGATTGAATATTATTGAAAAAAGATAATATTCAAAAATTGATACACTCGTATCAATTTTTATGCAACGGGCTCACCACGTTACATCAAAATCCATAGTAAGATATCAATAAATTTTCCTTCATTCTTGCAAAATGCGCATGTTGCAAAGCGTACTGCATCCTCGTTTTATGGGTGCCGCTTACAATGAATCAAAAAGCCAACAATTCTCCGGCGGCTGGTGTGGAACCTCGTAATCAAGGATAGAAGCATAAATCGACTGCGTGTTAAGAGAAACCTTAGTCAAGAGGCCATCAAAATGTCGTGACATTGCTGTATCGATAGAGCGATCCGTCCGTTTGAATAAATCTGGAATCGCTTCCTTAGCCGTTCTTGACGGATAGCCAACCAATCTACTCATTGTTTTCAACAGTGGGCGTGTGTCGCTATATTCGTTTCGTGATGAGTTCAATTTAGTGAGCGACTTCGCTTATAAGCAACCGCTCGCTAGCATGTAGGTGAGGTCTCTCGCTCTCGCTATACCCATGTTTCATAAAATTTGGACCTCCGCTTTCTGTCGTCTAGGTGAACGATAAGACACCGAGCTGACGTAAGCTAACCGTAAGCTGTATTTCTTCGATTCGTCACGGTTCTCGCTTCGTTGCCAGTCTCCAGATTATACAGAAATAGGTGAGTCTTAGTGGTAAAGATGTAAGACCACTAAATAACTTATACCCTGTGCTTGCTCATTAATGGGCTTACACAAGATTACAGCGCAAGCAAATCGTGTGTATAATGCGTAAGCATGCATTTACTTTACCCACGCTCAAATTCAGGAGTTGAGCTCGATGTCTGAAGACAACACGCGGCGGTTCAAACTGTCGTCTGAGTCGTGCCTTGATGTTCTCATCCGACTTAAAAACATATAGATCGTAAAGCTTGAGGCATATACACAGTTAGTGGCACGTCTATATAAGCTGGACGTGCTAGGCTTCACCTTTATCTCATAATCTACGATGCTACGACCTTTGTTTGCGTTGTGCGATTCGACGAGCCATCATAATAAGTGTCGCACAAGACTACCTTATACTAAAGATGTCAATCTTCAAGCTCTCAGATCGACGCGCATGCTACCGTTCGCTAACAGCATTTTTAAATTAGCTGTTGGGCTGGCGGTGTATAATACTGAGACCCCGTTTTCGCAGCAGCCCTGATTTTTAGGGACCCTGCTGGTGAAGCAAGATTCCTTTCATCATCCATCTTCAAGTTCATTTTACAACAGCATGGCGATAGTGGCACATTGCTCTTCCCCTCTAGGGCGGGCAATATGACGCTTACGATGGAGCAACTAATGGCGTAGATCACTTAATATATCGCAGCCCATGAGATCTCTCTCAAAAGCAGATAGCCTTCATGCGTGGCGTGAAAGCTGGCCAACTAAACGACAACTGCTAGGATGGATGGGTCTGCTATCGTAGAACGAACCATGAAGTGTGACGCTAATTTTAATGGATCGCCATTCTAAACCTGGACACATTGTAAGCCAACATACCCTGACATCGTTGGCAAGTGCTGCAAGAGCTCAAGTACACGTACGAGCAGAGGAAGCTAGTCGACGAGCGGACACGTAGTCCAGATAAAAAGGTAACTCTACGTAACATCGTTTGTCTTATCCAAATAAATCTGCTACCACACCCTTCTGAACGACATCTGGTGATAGAGATGAACTGTCACCGCCCATTGCGCGCGTCCATCAATTCATGGATACTTTGCTGGTTGGAAGAATGACTGATGTCCAGCAATTGATCGAAGTCATAAAATGCTACGTGTTGTAAGCAGATTCAAAGACCAGAAGTGAGATGATCGTCTGCAAAGGTACTATTCCCAATACGTCCTTTGTGCGCGATGATTCGCGTGCGCAAACCTCGTGCAAAGACTGTGGCGAAGCATTAAACGGTTTGAATAAGGTGACGATTCTGCTCTGTTCAAGAACAGGAAGTACCAATATGACAGAAGACCGCCACGATGCTGCGTCCGTATATTGAGCAAACAAGTCCTCGGCCGGGTAAGGTCTACTTAAATTCCATGGCCGCATCCTATGGTCACAAGGGGGTTGATGACCGCACGCGACAAACTTAGTCATCGAGATAGGAAACCTCTCGAAACGCTGCTCGGAGTTTCTCCATAGCACTGCATTCGAGAAATACGCCAACGTCGATCCCTTCGCCACCATGTTGGGCTTCAGTGACCATAACAAAGCCATCGTAGCATGGAAAGCTAGGCACACAAGCATACCATGGATGCGTGCCGCTGAACTCTGCATCGTACATGCCCATGTGTAGCCATGACGTGAACATGAGATCGGGACCAAAGAAGAAGTCCGTGCCAACTTTTACGGCAGCAACGTTGCTCTGCTCGGTCAAAAAGCTGATCGCGTCGCTCAGGTACGTGGCATCACGTTGGAGAATTGATGCACGCACGCGTCGAGCGAGCCTTCCGAGCAAGGCAGGCGACACCTCAGCTATGTTCCCACCGTTCGACTGCAAGTCGCTAGCGCTGTACGTCGACAGCGCGTTGAAAATGACATTTCCGACATAATTCGCCGGTAGAGGGGGATCGAGACGCTGTCGAGCGTTGACGCCAGTCGTGATCCGCACGTCTTTTTCGTGACCGCGGGCTCGTGATATGAGCACCGTAAACAGTGCAGTGATCGCATCAACTGTGCTCACGTATGCAGCTGTAGTATCAGTAGCAACAGTGACCTCGTCCTGAGCTCGACTGTTCCACATGGCTACTTCCTTGATCTTCTTCATCATGGAAGGCGTGAAGTGGAACAAGTGGTGAGCTGTTGGTGGCAGAGCTTGAGCTGATGCTGGCGCTGCATCCTCTTTTTCGTCACCGTTCGCAGCTGCTGCCTCGACGACTCGGAACTCCGGGTGCTGCATGGACGACGGACGTCCCTTCCTCATCAGCAAATGCCGGTCATGATTTACAACCAACCGGTTGCTCGTTTCCACGCCATTGTAGTGTTGACCCCATACGGTCATGAAGGTGAAAAAAGACTCCCCGTCGAACAACGTGTGGCTGACGTCTACTCCGATCGCCAACCCGCCGTCGACTAGCACCGTCCCTTTCACACTAATGGGCTCCGTATTGCATCTTGTGGTCGGCATGAAGTCCCACGACCGCTCTTGTATGGCCTGATCGGTCGTCACGGACGTTGACACTTTCGTTTCGAACCGAATGTTGGCAGCAGCACCGGGTTGTCGACTTTCAGCGTATAGTTGTACGTTTACAGCTCCAGTCTCAGACTCGACATTGAGCTTTCCCGTAAGAATAGGGTAGTCATGCTCGACTAGCGAGATGAAGGACAAGTGCAGCTTTTTGAGGTCGTAAGGCAAAGAGAGAGGCGGCGGAAAGATGTAGAGGATCACGAACCCAAAGCCATTCATCACAGCGTCCATAGGCGACAATGGCCACATGACGTCGTCCGAAGTTGTACGCATACTTACTGACCCAGAAAACGATTCGTGTGTGGTTTGTTAATGTATTTGAGTTGTGAATGGAAAAGAGGTCCTTCGCATTGGGTCTTTGACAAAGAGTTGTTCGTATTGGCACCAGAGATAACGTTGCGCGCATGTTCTGTGTGGCTAATTGAGACAGGCAGAACAAGCATTCGGGACTAGCAAGACAAAAGGTTTGCGCTATCCAGGAAACGCAGCAGGTGTAGAGAAAACGAAGAGAAACAAGCTCCTGCGAATGGGTGTGGTAAAGCTTTGATTCCCGCTTGATGCGAGTCGGAGGGAACATGGATGCATCGTTTAAATGGGCGCAGAAGCTGGCGGCAGTATTGAGTTCTCACACGCACTATCTCAGGGTGCGATACACGTCTATGGTCACGCGTGATGCGTCTAATGCAGTCTCATGCACGAAATGCCAATGCACTTTCGCAAACGTTGTACGCAAAAGGAGCTAGCACACGAACTCAAGTCAGCGAATACGTTTTGAGTAGAAAGGAAGTAGTGTAGCTGTTTGCTTGACCCCACAGGATGGACAACAAGTAGAGCACCGTACTGCATTCGTGTCGATGTCCAGTCTCCTTGCGCAATTCATTGTATCCGCATGTTCGTAATGCCTCGGCATCTACTTTGCTGACGATATGTTGCTGCATCATCGATCACTCAGTCCTGATGGCGACGTCAGCGTCTACAAGGTTTACAAAGCGTCAAGTAGTTCCCGCTCCCACTCCACGAGCAAAACATGACAACGACTATTGAGCTGGACACAAGAGAATCACTAAAGATTGACCGGATGGCTCTTTAAACGCGATCTCATGTAGCGCCTTTCTCGATAGGCTGCAAATGGAAGTGACACTAGCGTGATCGTGCGCCATTGTGTTCCTTAGTGGAAACGAAATTGCCCGCGTGCACTACGATATGCGACCCAGTGGACCATTCCTTCGTTTCGAAGTATCGCTTTCCAGTCTTCCGATGGACAAGGCTCGGGTCCACCGCTTTTCGATCAGCTTTCGTGTCCTCTTTCTTTGCACCAGGAACTGACGTAGCGTGAATAGGCGTTGCAACGAATCCGGAAATGCTTCGATGTACTTCAACGTGCTGTATTCATCGACCTGAGCGGCATTACGTATATTCACAAAGTAGCAGACTACATCTTTTGCTCTGTTTCGTGCACATGCAGTTTGCGTGTCTCGATCATTACTTCTTCACTTGGTATGTGTGCTATAAAGCTGTGCTCGTCAGCAGCTCGTCTTCTTGTTCTCTGATCGGAGCTGCAAGGAAACACTTGGAGCTTGTGAGCCCCAACGGACTTATCGTGCATCTTCAACTGCAAGGTAAACAGCAGGCAAGCGTCGACTCCATCCGTCACACGCTGCGTAGGTTTAGTATCGATCGGGCACCCGCAACTTCTACGGCGCTGAACGGAATGAACAGCGCCACTTGGTGATCCGTCGCCTATAAAATGGGATAAGAACGTATGATGGACAATGCATATCTACCAGAGGACGAGCGTCGCTTACAGACACGCATAGCTACACGACAGGACCCCGTCTTCGTGCGAGACCATCAGACGACTATGTAATCACATAGAGTCAAGGATGTAGCTACGTATGACGTCGATGCGCTTACTCCTGCACCAAAGCAGACGGAAACCGTTTCCCCATGCAAGAGTGGTCGCCAATGGCTTCAGATACTGCAAATGACGACCTTGTAACGGTTCTTACGTGCTGAAGTCGATAAGATGTACGCAAGTACGTTACTTCTTCTGTCATTGAATCTATATATCGTGATGACTGTTGCCAGCTGTCGACCACGACGAGCACGTTGACATGAGCGACCATGTCAAAGATACGAAGACGTTCTGATCGGCTGAAAAGTCAATGAGCATGAATCTCAAGTGCCGAAAGAAGGAGCTGCGAGCACCGATTCTAACTTTCCTCTTCTTCTTCTTCACCTTCTCCTTTGCTTTCTTCTCCTTTGTCTTGATGATGTTCGTTACCTTCCTCGTCCTCACTGCATCGTGTCTCGACTTTCTTCCGTCTCTCCTTCTCCCTCATCTCGGCCATTAGACTCTGCACTTGATGACCTTTTGCCAGCGTCTCAGTGCGATCCACGAAATCTTCAAAGTTCAGCCCCGGGTACAAATCATATGCCCACTGTTTGTACATCGTAATGAGCGACGACAGAGCCGAAGCTTCTCGGCCCGAGACGTTCGAACTTGCTTGGTACGGGAACGTCCGGTAGACCTTCTGGAAGCCTTCAGCAGAGACCAAGTGCGACTCCCGTAGCAGATTGCGACGCCGTTTTTGACTTGACGCAGCAGACACTTCAACATCTTTGCTTCCATCCATAGCATCCGTTGCACCATCAACTCGAGCAGCTGCGCCGTCAGCGTCGTCCTCTCGAGCCACATCGTCGTCGCGTTCCCATCTTCGAGTAGCCATTTCGTGCTGCCTGAAGCACTGACTGGTGGTCCATGCACGTGGTATGGCGTGGTGTGGTCCACCTCGAGACAGACGGCTGAAGCGGCGCGCGTGTGACTATCGATATGGACGTCCGTTATGCATCTGCTGTCGTATCGGCTGTCCCTGCTAGACGAGCCAAAGGCATGAGGTGCACAAGACCGAATCGGTCCGAGGGGCTCTACGCGTTTCCTGCGTTCCTTCACTCATCGATTCACGCAGTGAAGAACAAGTACTAGACGCCGGTGTGACCTTTTTTGCAATGAAAACCTCTGCTCTCGTGCTCGCACTCGCTGGTGCAAGTGCCCCTTTTGTCGCAGCGGAAGACTGCACAGCGGATGACCTCAAGGCGATCGCGAGCGCCTACAGTACGGCATTGGATGGATCGTGTCCCGACTTGGCAAAGATGACGGAAGGGACCGAATATTGCAAGTCCACCGACTGCCTCCAGTTCCTGTCCGACATGATCGAGAAGCTGCCCGACTGCTCGACCAGCGGCGTGAACGTCCAGAAAAGCGTCCAAGCGGCGGTGACCATCTGCGAGACTGGAAGCGCTGACACTTCGGGGATTATCACAAACTCGACGTCGAATTCGACGTCGGGCCTAAAGGATTCAGCGGCCTCGTCTTCTGCGGCCTCGAAGACGAGCGACAACGCTACTGGTGATACGTCTGCGTCTGCTTCGGCCACGTCGTCTGCAACGCTATCGTCGTTGGCGGTCGCTATCTCAAGCGCTTCGGTTGCAGTGATCCTTTTTGCAGTGCTGTAGGACAGCTAGTCGTGTGCACTGGACGATCCATGCAGACAGTCGATACCGAACGATCGCAGATAACTGGCCGGCCGGTCGGTCACGTGAATGGAAACGCAGAGTTGTAGTATCCAGAAGCTCGAAACAAGTGCATAGTCATTCAATCGTCGCTTTGCGTCCCTTCATGACGGTAAGATCGGATTCGATGGTCGGTTACGTCAGTCGTTTTTTACCGCAGTTACCATTAAATGATCGGCGCCTCTCCTGCGATTCTTCTGGGCGCGTCAACACGTCGCCGTTTTCTTTGCTGCGATTTGTAGACTACGTCACGGTCCGTGTCTCGTCTACTGGGAATGTTGAACCCGATGTCGTGTATCGTCACGCTTGTGCACCGTATGCTGCAACCGGAGCGCTATCAATCACTTTGGGCGGGAGCAAAGCGTGCAACGTCCACAAACAAGAGGCGATTGCTGTGTCTTGAGGTAAGTCTCCTCGACCCGACAATTTGCTCTGCCTGCTCTTCGTTGCACAAAGTACTCACCAAAATAGCGAGACTCGACGCTGTAAGCGCGGCAGGACTCAGTGAGTGCAGTCGAATTGGTACGGGGCAACAAGGGCATTGCTAAAGCGAAGCAAGCTACGGCATCAGTTCACGCGTACGGTAACAAATTCGTAGACGTATCAGCGTACCGATCGCCGCGGCAAAGTCACTCAGTAAGTTCCCGTCGGCTTGGAATACAGTGCTACGAGGTCATTGGGTTGCTACTATCTGCAGCGCTGGTGTCATTGATTCTTGTCACAGCGCGAACAAAGGAGTTTAATGCGTTGTTTTGCATACGAAAGACGTCACTTAGCAGACAAACTTCGATCACTGCGTAGCCAGTGATAGAATCAACGCAACAGAACTAGAGTAGTGAATCACGGTCGTGTATTTTCGTTTTCGTAGCACCTTCCGCCTGGAAGAACGTATGCAGTAGTAGAATCTGTGAGCGTGGCTTAGAGGTACCACAATCCTGTTCGACTCTTTTGTTGGTGGTGATTGTGTAGCGTAAGCTATAGCTATCGACTGCAGCTTCGTTATCCTCATACGGACTCTTGAGACTCGTGTCTGCCGAAGAAGAAGCTGAGCCTCGTTCCGTCCAAGCGACGGAGTCTGGGAGCTAGCTCGCGCACGCCACGACAATGCCGATCCAAATGACGGTCCAAAGATGCAGCTGGCCGTCGAAAGGTGCACTTCCGCTCGTTCTGCTGCTCCCTGTCGCAGAGCTTGACGATGCCGACACTTCATCGGAGCGCCCATTGTCTGAATCGAAGGGCTTTGATCCGGACGAACTGGATGGCGACGCAGCCCTTGAGCCAGAGGACGGACGTTTCAGGCTGCTGTCCGATCCGAGCACAACGCTGACAAACTTTGAAGCTCCGGTGCACCCGTTGTCGAGCTGATCCAGTACATACTCTTTCTTGTTCACGGAATCGTAGCCGTAGTTACAATTCGGGAGTCTGTCTGCCATTGTCTCGAGAGATCGAGCGCAGTCGGAATCGCACGGCGTCGAGATTGTGACACTCGACCGACCGATAGTGGAAGTATCAGTACACTCGTCGCTCTTCGCGGTCGAAACGAATAGATCCCTCGTGTTCTTTGCCTCTGTCATCGAGCAGCTCACAGCAGATCCCACAGAAGCCATTGCCGGGCTTGACAATGGGGCGCTCGAAGGCGCAATCACATCAGAAGTCGAGCTTGGACCCTGGGGACCAGACGACGCCGACGTGTCACTGAATGCCGATGCCGGCGAACCTGCATTCAGTGCGGCTGCATTCGATGAACCGGCACTCGTTGAGTCTGCATACGGAAAGCCTTCAGTCAATGAGCCTGCAGTCATTGAGTCTGCCTTCGGTGAACCTGCAGTCATTGAGCCCGTATACAGTAAGCCTGCACTCGTTGAGCCTGCGGTCAATGGGCCTGGAGTCAATGGGCCTGAACGCATTGAGTCTGCACTCTTCATGCCTGGAGTTAGTGAACTAGCATCCAATGATCCTGCATCCAATGGGCCTGGAGTCAACGATTCTGCAGTCAATGGGTCTGGAGTCAACGATTCTGCAGTCATTGAGGTTGCACTCGTTGAGTCTGCATACTGCAAGCTTGGACTCGATGTGCATGGAGTCGATGAGCCTGCAGGCAATGATCCTGCAGTCACTGAGCCCGCATATAGTAAGCCAGCACTCGATGAGTCTGCATTCAGTGATCCTGCATTCAGGGATCCTGCACTCGATGAGCCTGCAGTCATCGAGTCTGTATTCAGTGAGCCCACTTTCGTTGAATCTGCATTCCTAAAGGAGACAGCATTACAAGTTGCGAGCGCATTCTGCACCTTGTGTTTGTTGTTGATGCCGTTGAAGGTGCAGTCGGGAAGATCCACTACCATAGCTTCCACGAAAGCAACACAGTCGGTAGCCGAACATGGTGCGTTGATGTAGATGGGTTCACTCTGCGTCACGTAGCGTGAACAGGTCGATGTAGTGGCAGTTGTTGCCCACACCGATTGAGCAGTGGCAGTCTCTGCGTCAGTGCACTCCGCTGCTTCACCGAGCGAGAGAGTCGCGCTCAGGGACGATAGTAGAAAAGCTGTGAGTACTCGGACCATGATGAAGGACGACAACGACTTGAGCTCGACAAGGGGTGATTGATAATGGCAATGACATCGCTCTGGTCTACGCGCTAGCTCTCAAGCACCTGACAGGCAGGCGGAAGGTGACGTCCAACACGAGCGCGTCCTTTACCTATTTGTTGAAATGTGCTTTTAGCGTGAGCTCGACAGTGTCGTTGCTGCGCTTTGGGTGCGAGAAAACCGCGTGCCAAGTTGAAGTACTTCTGCGCGATCGCATGGTACGTGTGACCCATTCTGCGTGCATCAAGATGGCTTCCAGCCACCCTCAAGTTCACATTGGCTGCAGAAACGAAGGCATTAGCTTTTACACAGCGTCCGACAGTTGTAGGAGATTGTCGGCCAGCAGCACCTGCGAGATCGCAACAAGGCAGTCGACAACAGGACGTCTCCCAGCAACTAAACCGTAACGTCATTCGACGGGAGGGTACAACCATTGCAGGCCCCACGAAATGCGAAAATGCAGCGCGAGTCAAGTAGGGGCCGACACTAAGGCGAAAAAGCACCGCAATGCAATGTAGTTTTTACTGTATTACGAAGCAAATATGAACATCTCCCACACAACAGAGTCTGCACGTCCTCGATGACAACCACACGAGAAACAGCTTTGCCGCTCAACTACAGCTCTGTGCCGCTTATCACAGCTCTGTGCCGCCTATCACAGCTCTGTGCCTCATGAAAATGCTGCGACGAAGTAGATAGCCATGAAAAGCTGCGCGACAACGGCACTGGTGGCCAATACACCGCTCGAGGCACCGGACACGACGGGGTCCGTACTGGGACCGCTGCCCGAGGCCGACTGGTCGGTCACTTCGTTCACATTGACACAAAAGTCCACGATCGCCTGCAGCTCAGTCTTGCGGGTGTTCTCGTCTTCGCCCACACAGGTCGGCAGCTCGTCGACGGCTGCACTGAGCTCCGAGAGGCAGTCCGTGCGCCCACAGTACTCGAGCGACGTGGCGTCCGAGTCCGACATGAGGTCCGAGCAGGCGGTGCCGGCGGCCAAATTGGCGTAGACACTATCGACAGTGGACTGTTCGTCGGTCGTGCAGTTGGCGGCGCGGACGGTGGTGCATTGCAGCGCTGTGAGCGCCACGAAGGAGACGGCGAAGGTGCGGAATCGAGTCATCTCGTGTGGACAAGAAGGATTCAAAGTGCGCTGGAAGCGGACCGCTGCTTTGTGTGTATCGAGCCAGAGAGCGATCGAAGGGCGACCAGGAGAGTTCCACGACCCTCACTCGGTCGATCGGCTCGTTTGCTAGCACACACGTATGTGTAGACAGACAGACCGACAGACGCTATGAGTGGTAGGCGCCTGACCCGTTCTGACTTAAGAAAGGGACGGTCTGCACAGGCAGACGGCCACTCGTCGGGCGTTGAATATTTGGAGACGATCGGGCGACGCGAGATGCGGTGCACGTTACCACACGTCCTTGTTCCCGAGGGATGCGATACGCGCGAGGGGCGGCTGAGCAGGTGTATTGGATCTTCCCGGGTGGGATTCTCGTTGTTGTATGACTTGATCCAGACTCGATGCGTGACGAACGATGGGAACGTGGAAACAAGAGTTTGGTTGACTGTCTGTCTGTGCGCTCAGTGACTACGCCAACGCATCGGTGCATCAGCCCATCGATCGACCTCCGTCACACGTCAGGGGCATCGGCCAACACGATACCACGCAAGAAGGTTTCGTGTTCCGTAGCAACACAACAAACACATCGATGCTTCGACTTCCCGATCCGTGTACGTTCGGGACCTCGAAAGCAACACTACAAGCAGATTGCCATAGCTCCGAATGGACGCGTCTTCGAGCACTTGCTCATGCTCATCGACACGTACGATGAACGTCAGCAACGAAGAAACCTGTCACAGGATATGTACCTGGTCCACTGCGTCGGCTGATTGCTGGATGCTCTGGATGCGACGCCCCTGATCCAGTCACTCGAGCCAGTTCGAGCCGTTTCCCGTGTCCTGGACCGATGGCGATCTGATCGCGTAGCCCGAAAAACTGAGTACGATCAAGAAGAGGATACATTTGGATCCACTCACTTGTGGCAGCAAGTGCTCCTTTGGGAATCTTCTGTGCGGCGCACGACGAGATCGATCGACGTCAGTAGCGCGATGCAGTCACCAGATCGGATGCCGTACTGATGTACGTGCGAACTTGTCGAGTCAAGAAACGTCTTGCAAAGCGCACACCAATCGATGTGTATGCAAAACGCAAAGACTGCGTGACGCGCAGCTGTTCGAGCCGGTGCCAAACTCAGATGAGTCGTCACCGCCGAAGCGCTTTGTCCCACACGATTAGAGCGTTTCGCCGTCGCCTGCTTTACCATCGTCACCCCGGAACTGCTTTGTAGCTGCTACGAAATCAAGTGGGCAACAAACTATTCGACGGCTCCATCCGCGATGGTGCGGCTATTTGGCGTCGACGACTGCATCAGCAGTCTGTATTTCTCTCTCTCTCCTCTGAGCTTCGCACTTCATGTGAGTGACGAGGGTGAGTGATACTGTCGACGACGGTACAAAGTTCAGTCCATCGACGGTGGTGGAGGCTACTGAGCCATGCGAAGTTTGCCTCAGTCGCGTGTATGGACCAAAGCGACGGCGTCACGTCACAAGATGCGACAAACTGGTCGGAAACGCCTTCAGCAGTGCATCTTCTGACTCGCAGTCGACTTACGGAACCGATTGCATGGTCTGAATCGTCGGTGGTGTGTATCTATCGCTCGCCGTGCTTTCTGCATGGACAAGTTGTATGCACTGGGGCAAAGCACAGGCTTTTGCACGTCGATACGGTGAACGATCTGTCGATTGCGTCGAGTCGCATTGCAGATCGTCAGTAATAACGACAAGACGGGCGATTGAACTGAAGTGGTACTGCCCGATGCAAAAGACGCATCGAGTTCGTGTCCGCCGGACCATCGCAATGCTGTCCAACAGTCTGGTAACACCCTTTTCAGCACCAAATAACATGGCGGTACAACAACTCGTTTCGATTTGGTTCACCCGCGTACCGTCCTTTGCCAGCTCGACGCTATTGCTGGTGAGGTCGCTTACCACACCATTCCATCTCTCGATCTTACGCAATCATGCAAAATAGCCTACGCACGCTGGTGGTCCACCAACATGAGGCTTGCGACACACGTCATCACCATCTTGGGCTTGACCTCCACAATGTCCTCGTACGTTAAAAAGACGGTCGCACCAATCTTCTGAGCGCAACTGATCGCGTACTTGGCGTTGCTGGCCTTTGCATCGTCCGTCGACTCTTGTGAGACCATGTCCCAGTTCACGGCACGAGGCTCGACTGCGTGCACCAAGTCCAGCAAGTACAGACCGTCAGATAGATTTGGGTCCCGGAACGACACGATGTTGCCCTTCACCTGTCCGGCCTGCCGGACCTTTTCGTTCGCCCAGCTGATAATGTCCTTGTCGGTGATCTCACCACGACCTGCTGCGAGCGCACTCAACATCTTCAGTTGCTGGTACCGCATGCTCTGCCACACAATCGACAAGATCATCTTCTTCGCGCCCTCGAAAATGTCGGCACCGCCCACGTTTACCAGCGAAAACTTCAACTGCTTGCCCAGCACAACGCAGTAGTTACAGTTCTCCACCTGCTTGAACTTATTGGGTGCTACCATATTGACCTTGTTCCAGGCCACGATTCCTTTCTGGATCTTGTCCAATACCTTAAGAAGCTTCATGCCGTCACTCAGGTCCGAGTACAAGTGGTTCACGTACACGTCATCAATCGCCAGCGAGTTGATCCACATTCGAAACACACGTTCTTCGCGCGTGTCGCCAACATCATCGTACAGAATCTCTTCGAGCTGCTTCATCTCCTCTTCGACAACGTCTAGCGCCGGACACGTGTTGAAAAGCTGTGCCACGAATGACATGTTCAGCTTCGGGTTGCCGCTGGTGATATCGCGAGGTTTAATAAACGTCTCGACCTCCAACCGACGCGCATTCTGGATCACATGCGCGGCACGTTCCTCTGGAATGGACTCGTTGCAGAAGTCACAGTATTGGGGTGCAATGTGGTGGAGTAGTACGCTATAAGCAGTCGCGTCCTGCACGTCCGTGCTGAAGTTTGTCACCTTTTTTGGGTGACCAGCAGCTTTCAGGTGGTAGTTCATCCATCGTAGCAAAATGAGGTCAGGAGGAAGCTTCATGAATGCTTCCAGCGTCTCGCCATCCAGCAAAAGCCGCATGAGCTCAGGGTGATTTTTCAGGTTGATGGTCGACAACAGCTGGATCTTGATGATCTGCCATACCAGTCCCAGCACGAGAATCTGCTTGCCTTCGATCAAGTCATCGGGCCCAATGTTCACGACGCTGCAGCCGATGCTCTTGGCTGCGTTGATGCACAAGTTCTGGTTCTCGGTTTTCTGATACACGTTGAGCTCCTTCGTGGGCTTAACAAAGTTGAGAGCGCGTTCATCGATCGTCTCAGGTACGGCCTTGTTGATCAGCTTACACAGCACCACACCGTCGCACACGGCGCTAAAGAGACCAGCGTCCACGCTAATGGGCATGATCGACGCAATGTCCTTGTCCGCTTGTAAAGTGTTATTGATGTGCTCTGTAAACGCGACCGTCTCTTCTTCCGAGTACGAGTGCACACCGCCAGCTGTGCCTTTCACCTCGTGTATAGTCGAGTTGTACTGTGCAGCAGCACTTGCACGTCGCTGCAAGACATTCAGCGTGTGTACATCGACTTTGCTGCTCGACTGCTGATCCTTTGGAGTCGAGACGGGCGTCACTTGCCGCATCGGTGAGCAAGGAGGAGTGCTAGACACTGCACCTCCAGGTGGTGGCGTGGGTGGCCACTGACCACGCCTGGGTGTCTCTGGACCAGCTCCATTCGCTCCAGTTGATGCTGCTGGTGGCGTAAACAGCCGTGACTCTGCTCGTCCATTGCCTGCACTAGTGCCTGAAGCAGCTGTTGGCGGCCATCGAGGCGAGTTGCCGCCTGCCGGTGGCCACTGCGACTTCATCGGGCTTTTGTCACCACCCGCAGTAGCAGTAGCACCGCCTGGAGGCCATTTCGACGCCACCGCATGTGTAGACGGCGACTTGACCGCTGCCGAGTCACTCGCTCCTGCAGGAGGCCACTGCGGCTTACTCTGCGGCACACCTGCAGCAGGAGCTCGGGCTTGGGAAGCACTTGACGGCGTGTAGCCCCACGTTGCAGCAGTCGAAGCACTCGAAGCAGCAGCAGACGGCCACTGCGGTGCACTCGTGACGGGCGGCACTGTGCCAGCAGTTGGTCCAGTGGAACTCTTCGCAGGCGGCCACAGCGTTTTGGGCGTAAACGGCGACCCGACTGTGGTCGACTGCGTCGGTGGCCACGTTGAATTTGCCGTCTTGTGATTGGCCGATACGGATCCACAGGTCGACTCAGCGACCGGCGACTTGGGTACACAAGTGTCTCGACCAGGTGCCAGCGACAGAGCCGCAACTTTGTGGTCCAGCCGAGTTGCTCCAGCAACTTTAGCGTCCACGAGCAACGCAGGGTCCAATACAATCGCGCCATTGCGAAACTCAAACAAGAGGTCGAGGAACTCCTGGAACGTGAGCCAATCAGGTCGCGCGCGCTTGAGTTGCTGCAACAACACAGTCGTCTGCGCGGGCGTCACGTTCTCGCCGAGGTGGAGCAGCACCGAGTGCAGCGCGGCCACGGGCACCGCAGCGGCGTAGTCGTGATCGTGCTCCTTGAACACGCGCTTGAGCTCGTGGATCTCCTTGGGCGAGAACTTCTGCAGGAAGCCGGACGAGACCTGGTAACTCATGGGGACCGAGTGATAAGGTGTCGATTACGCCCGACACGATGAGCAGAAGAAGAAGTGATCGAGTGCGTGATCGAGTGGGCGAACGAGTGCGAAGATGGTAAGTTGCTGCAGCTGTTGTTGAGTTCGTGTGCCACTTGTGGGCGATGGATAGAGCTGGAAACGAACGCTTTTGACGGGGATGATGCCGACCCGCAACATTACTTGATGTTGGCGGGTGTGCTAACTTACGAGGACAATCCTATTGATGGCGTTTCTAACTGAACCTTCGTGCGACATCGCGCGACATCGCGTTTCAAGCCGACAGGTCACAAAATGATGAGGAGCTGGTGCATGCAGATTGGTGGGTGTTGCAGGAGCAGACTGTCTTGGAGCATACCGGTTTTGGCTGGAATGGCGCGAGTATCACTCTGCGGTATGATACTTTCGCACACGGATTGGCATAACATGACAAGTGTGATGGAAGCGGTGGCATATCTAACATCAGTGACCGTCACTTGCTCAGTGACGCGAAGCTATAGCTATCGCTATCGACAGAGTGCTCGTAAAGTGTGTAAAACGTACTAGCAAGCTCTGTGCGCGGCTATGGTGAGTCGACGTTGGGATCGCAGTAGTGTTGTTCCTGGACTGAATCTAAACCGTCGAAGGCGTCGTATACCTTACGCTCTGTCGGACATACTTGGCCTCACCCTCGAACGAGATGTACCATATCAGCTGGGACGCTAGCCTGAATGCAAGACACTCGACATGCGTCGCCTTTGCTTCCAACGTTGCAAAGTCTGAGTCACTTTGAACGTCCTCAGTGGCGTCGATCAAAGATTGGCAATGTGGACGAAAGCGTTCGTAGTGCCCGGCTCTCTACGAGTCGGAGTGAGCGCGCATGTGCTGCTGATACTATACTCACAAGGATCGCTTTGGTGGTTGTGACAAGGTCCAAGTTAATGCTCCAGTAGAATATGAAGCCGTATCACATGTTCTATGGGCGTTGGGTCTTTCTCTCACAGCAAAACGTAGCAATTGTTGTGAGTTGTCACTTGTGGAGCTTTGTTGGGTGGGCACGAGCGCTTATGCACATCACCAGTTGTTCGCCACTTGAAGTCACATCGAATGGAACACAGCTGCGATCGACCTCAACCAGGTGACTTGTGCTGATTGCGACTTGAGCAGCAGCGATACAGACACCACATTGACACACCGTACAGCGGTCTTTAGGCTCTTTCGGTCCTATTTATTTTGTCGGGCAATCAAGTTTGTTCATCGAGCACTTGTGCAACGGCCTCAATATGTAACACCACAAATATATGGTGAGATGCAGACATGTGTATAATTCAGCGCAAGTACATCCTCTGTGCAGGACGTCGCCAATGTTGATCGCACACCCCGTGTACCGTGTGACCAGAGACACCGCCAGCGCACTCGTTGATGTAGGGGCAGCTCTTGTGTAGTAGCAGTTCTTATAATCGATTGTGCTCGGTTCCTTCACATCAGCAGTTTGTCCTGATAAGCTGCGAGTGCCCGAGAACAACCAGCACTCACCATGTTGGACTGACTGATCAACGCAGTTCTGCTAGCTTTTCTGTCTGACAGGGTATGTACTGGGCCATGAAGCGAACAAAGCGGACCTGCCTTCACACTTGCTTATGGCTGCACACATGTCCATTGCAATGGAATTGCCAAGAAGGTGCATCACCGGCAGGAGCATTACCAACGGGTGCATTACAGGTATGTGCGCGGCACACATGTGTGTATTGCCTCGTCATGCAACTTTGTTAAGCACTTGGGTTGTCATGGCAATACTGTTGCGCGTCTTGGCTTCTTGCACACTCGCAAGTACGGCCGAGTACACGACGCTCTTGTGCGCTCACATTGACTTGATTGCAGACGTCATGTGGCGGCAACAAGCTGTCCGCACCCATTACGAGAGACCTCGAGGTCTCTCTGCTCTGGTGTATCGTTGCTAATGTCGTCGCTAGTGTCGTCTACGTCAGTCGCTTTTGGTAGCAAAATGATATGTTGGGTCCTCCCGGACTTTGCTGATGAACACAACACGCCATGGAAGAAGGCAATGGTGATATTGACAGACGCTGGGGATCTCATGCTCGACTTGAGGAGAGAGAGAGAGAGACAACACGACGATGAGGTAGTCATTGTCCTAGCGATTCGTACAGAGTACTCACACACGTACACAGTGGCATTTGATCTGCGAGCTATACTCGTTGCCGTGGTATGGCAGCGTCCAAATCTACAGCAGCATTTGCAGAGTACAGACGACGAATCATAGCGTCGCCGACCGCCGTGGACAACGATGTGGTGGTCGTCTTGCCATCACTGGTGTCATCATCGATGTACAAGTCGTGCGCGAGGCTATGTCTCGGTGCTTGTTGGCATTGGGCTAAGCAGCAGCTCGAGAGGGCCTGTTCCGTCCGACTCGGCTGAGCAAGCAGCTTTGCTTTCACCACGTGAGGCGGTCTGCGAGTTAGATTCTAGTCGGGCAGTCGAGCGCCACCGCTACGCATAGCCTGAGCTGCACATGTGTTTTTTGTCGACAGATAGAGAGTGCAGCAGAGCATGCTTTCTCCATTGTCCTCAAGTGTATCGCAGAGACCTAGATGAGTGCATTCACTGACACATGCACTCTCGATAGATCGCGCGCGCGCCAGTTAGACGCGAGAGTCGTGAGCACACTTTTGAAAGACGTGCTCCTAGTCGATGAGAGCGACGACGGCACGTGCACAACAATGCAGCTCTGCTACGATTCGGACTATGTCAATGTCGCAGGGTAAGGAGGCGCACGCACATTCCACGCGCTGTGTGTTCAGCTACTTAGGTGATCACGATCGCATCCTCCTCCTCGAGCATTACTGCACGGATAGCAGCGACCAGGCCAACCACACCAGAGAGACTACGCTGCGAATCCACGTAGCCCCACACTTGTGTAGCCTTCTCCGTGCAAAGGGTAAGCTTAGTCTTGCTCTCGTGACCTTCTTGATCGATGCGCGTGAGGAAGCTGGCAGCGGCAAGAAGGCTGGACCTTTCCAGTGCTCTCGTGACAACATCTGCAGTGTCGTGAAACAAAAAATCCGTGTGCGTTGACAACAGGTCGAGAAGATTCGGCAATGCCTCTGCAGCTGGTTGCCAGAGCCCGTAGAGCTTTCGACTGTGCTCTCGTCGTCAATTACAAACGGACATGTGGCGGTGGATGTTCCTCATGCCGATGTGAACACAGCATCAAGTTTTTTTTGCACTAACGGCCACAGTTCGTGAATATTGGATCCATCGAGTCTTTTTTTCCATATCGCTGGCAATGTGTATGTATCGATCTTACAACCGTCAAAACCTCTTTGTAGAAAGAGAGTCTATCGGCTTTGTGTTTGCATTGCCTGAGATATCGTGCAGTACCATTCACAAACTACACAGTCGGCACGTCTTTCTGCTCATGTTGGCATGTTGGCATGGCGACATACACGCGATCGCACTGTCGACGATGAACTCGTTGCAAAACTCTTCTCGACGACTGTCTACATCTGCAGTATGGAGAGTGCGACACGACGGGTCGGCAAGATCGTCAGTATTGTTGGATCGCGAGTGTAGTCAGATATGTGAGAGGGGGAGGAGCACTTTGTCCAGTCGACCTCTCGATCGCAACACCTCATTTCTTACAACCACACGGTGGCCAAGTAGCTGCTACGAACGCTATAGGGCCGAAAGTCCAATGCAGCAGCAGCAGCAGCTTTGGTCTCCTCATTTGTGCTTTTGCCAAGCCCAAGAGGTATCAAAGACCCTCTCGATAGGCCACGACCATACCAAAGCACGAAGCAGACCGACACTTCATAGCGTGACAACATGGTGAGCAAGAAGGTTTTGCTCACTGGAGTCGTGGTGGTGCTTGCAATCATCGGCGTCATTGTCGGTGTTCTAGTAACTCGCCAAGCCAGTAGTTCATCATCGACAAAGTCGTCGGATGCTGTAAGTTCTGCGGGCTCGACTACTGGCGCTGGCGAAATCAGCTCGTCCGATCCGAGTTCTTCCAGTGCTGGCGCAGTCTCCAAGAAGAAAAAGGGGAAGACAATGACTTCGGGCTCTGGTTCCGGTAGCACTTCCATCACGTCGGACCCGACAGCCGGTACGAATTCGCTTCTGTATTATACAAAACTAGTTCCACAATGGAACTTCGAGCTCAGACTTACCCGATCTTTACTCACCTTGCAGCCAAGTACACGGTCTCGGCATTCGCTATCGGTGACTGGGGCACGACCGTCTCGCAAGACTCGTGTTGCACGCGTTCGTCGACTTTCAGTGACTACGATGTCAATGCTGAGGATGTTGTAGCCAGTATCATGGACCAGCAAGCGACTGCTGCGTCCACACCACCAAAGTGCATCATCAGCCACGGGTGAGTCGTGCATACAGCCGAGTGGGTCGTGTGAACTGAGGTTAGTGTCCCAGCACTGACAGTATATGTGCCGTCCTTGTGCTCTAGCGACAATTTCTACTGGACGGGCATTGACAGCGAAGGAAGTCGCGACTCGCGCTTCACGACTACGTTTGAGCGCAAGTATGACGGATCCAACATCAAGAACGTCCCGTGGGTCAATGTGCTTGGGAACCACGACTACGGTGGCGCGAGTTACATCTGCTCAGACGACAAGGGCCTGGCCAAGTGTTCGAGTGCGTCGGAGCTGGTCAAGGCGCTCGCAAATAAGTTTGCGTTGCAAGCAGACTACACGAGCCCGAACGACAACCGCTGGATCTTGCAAGACCACTTTTACGTGTACTCGATCGGAGACAAAGCGTCGGGTGTCAGCATCGACATTTTCAACGTCGACGCAGGCGATGCCAGCACCCACGGTGCCCAGCAAACGTGCTGCCAGTGCTACGGCTACGCTGAAGGCAATGACAAGAAGTGCAAAAACGTTGCCAGGGGCGACAAGTTGTGTGCAGGCGGTGACACTGAGATGTTTGACGCGTGTTTCGACAAGTTCACCGAGTGGAGCGACGACTCGCGCAAGAAACTTGCCAAGGAAGTGGCTGCGTCCACGGCGACGTGGAAAGTCGTCAATAGTCACTACTCGCCGTACGCTCACTATGACGAAACCGGCATGAAAAAGTGGTTTGACATCCTACGCGACTCGGGCGTCCAGCTCTGGATGAACGGCCACACACACGGTGAGAACCACGACTACTCGTCGTCGCTCAAGGTCCACTTCGTGGACAATGGTGCAGGTGGCGGCATCCAAAAGGAATCGGCGAGCGGGATCCCTGAATTTGTGAAAGGCTCTGTGGAGCCTTTGTGGGTATATGGAGGTCACGAGTATGGGTTCATGTCGGTAGAAGCTTCGGAAGAGTGGCTGAAGCTACAGTACCACACGGCCGATGACTCGTGGACGTTTGCTGAGGACTTCAAGTCGACGACGGTCGGCGGTGTGGCTACAAAGCATTGCTGGTACATTCCACTGGACGGTGGCAGTGGCATGGAGTGCTGACTGGAAGGAGAGATTATTACCCTTTTTTTCGATCAAATGTCCATGTTTTGGAGGTAGAATCCGCAAGTGTTGTCGTGAATTCACTGCAAGTTATTTCACGTTTACAGTGCTCACGACGGTACTTGAGGTTCCTCTCTTCGTTTCTCGTCTACGTGGTGGACCTGTTAGACAGACAAAGGCTTTCAATCGAAAGGTCGAAACAATATGCGGCTCGCAAGCGCTTTCTTCTGTATGTAAAAGCAGGAAAAATGGTGATGATGATGATGTTTGTATCCAGATAACGACAGACACTGAGTGTGTGTCGTAATGTGAGCAAACGAAGTGCCTTTCATCGCAAAGTCTGAGCCGCGTTGATTGGCGTTGCCACTAGTGTGTTGACGCGTATTCTGTACGACGAATGGGGGTACACTTGCAGTCTCTTTTTTCGTACGCAGAGCATGACGAATTCTCGCGTAACGTGGCAAAAGAGTACCCCACGCTGGGCTAACTTGATATTCCGACGTCGGCGCGCTTTTGGCCGTTTACCACAATATTGCCTGAAAAGGAATGGTAGCAGCTTAAATAGGTCACACCAACCAGGCATCGCATCGCTCTAAGACATAAAATAGAGTGACAGCATGAGAGCTTACTGCCGTTTTCCAGGTGTGTAATTACGCGAGATACTTCGATCGGGCAACAAACACCGAGATTTGCGTTCTATCCCACTAGGCCCGCGTGGCAGCATCTGAAACACAACACCACAAGATTTCTAACCAGCAGCAAGCACATCTGGTGGGCAGAAGTTTTCGTGACACTAGCCATACCACGAGCAGTATAGCGTTTGTGACGCGTGTCTTGGACTCACTCCGGTCATCCTACAGCGCTGCATGCGTCTGCTTTCAATGAAAGAGACTATGTTTTCCACTTGCTTCGAGTGCGGTGACGTGAATGTCCCGTAAGCGCAACAGCTTTCAGCAACGACAGCCCTCTTTTCGATGTGAAGGAAGACGGCGGCCACCGATTTGATCTCCGTCGTGGGCTCGTCTCTGACGATCCACGAAAAAAGATGGACCACTTGCTGGAACTAGCGTGCTGAATAGAGGTCACGCGCTGTCACGAGGTAGCGCTCGCCTTGGACATGGACTCCAACTGAACGCGCACCGGGTGCATGTCCTTTACCGATGCGGTATTGCTCGCGTTCACTTGACCAGCAGCACTTGTGCCCAGACGAAGACAGCACTCACGTTCTGCAGACAGAGCCAGTAGTCTCGTACCGTATCGTCTTCTGAACAAAGCGAGACTTTCGAACATGCGTTTGCTGCAGTTGCACTCCTGCAGTACTTTCCAGCTCGTGCTACGTACTCCGCGAACACGATGCAGTGTAAATTCAGCGTAAAAGCGCTTGTAATCGGTGGTCAAGCGTTGCTCGGTCGTTCCTCCACCTACTGGACATGCCACACCGAGCTTCTTTCGCTCCCTTCCGCCTTGTACAGAAGTCAGCGAGTCATCATAAGCTGCCTGCCATGCGCTAAGGCGCGACTGCACATACTCAGTCGTGGTCGAGACGCTATCTGTCTACAAGATGGCTTGCGCATGCGCTTCGTTATGATCTCCACTACCTCTGGTATGCTGAATAACATGCTCCTCCGTCCGCACGCGCTCCTTCACTTCGGACAGCGTTATTCTGGATACAGAGATCAATTGCCGGGTTCGAGCACGTAGCGGTCTGACCTCTGCTGCCGTAGTATGTATCCCTTCATCTGCACTTGTCGAGGTCCTGGACAAGCAAGACTGTGGGTAGTATCCGCATCGCTACAGAAGAAGAACACTTGCACCGTGGTGCCTTTTTCGAGATGGAAGTGAGTGTCGAACGCTGGTAGTCCTCTTGCTGGCTGACCGTTGCTACTGAACGTCATCGACGTATCACGTTTTCCACAACCTGCAACAACGACGGCAGGTCCATCGACAACATGCAGTCGTAACCACTGGCCCTCGACACTGTCGCTGCGCGACCTCGTATAAGTTGCCGTCAAGGCGTGGAGGAAAACGTCTCAAGGCTAATCCAACGCAGTGATCCCGTGAGGCTTTTTTCTATCCGTGCAGTCGGGATCGGCTGCGACCAACGACCCTCTCCATAACGATATCCCCACTCGGTCATCCTCGTCCATCCCGCGAGCAGCGTGTCGACAGGTGGTTTGTCTCGACACGTTTGTTATAGCGAAACCGCATTCCTCTTTAGAGGGGTATTCCAACTGCACGCGCGAGCAAATCAGGACTGACGACGACGACATGCGGTTCGGGGTCGAGGGTTTTTTTCCCGTCCGAGGTTTTTCGTCGTCGACAGGTGGCGGTCATCACCGCCATGTGCGTCGCCTCGCCAGTCTTCAAAAGTCGACCGACGATCGATTACTGTAAACAACAACAACCCGCAACCGCAACAAACGGTCGACAGGTCCATCTAAACGACCTCTGAGCCTATTCCCTCCAGAAGACCTCTGAGCATATTCCCTCTCTATTCCCCCCCAACTGCATTGATTTCGTATCACTTCTTTCTATCGACCCCCTCCCCCATCCATTCTCCGTTTTGACCCCTTTCGAGGACCGTATTGTCTGTCGCCTGTATTGCCCACTTGAGGCACAATGGCAGTCAACAAGCGCCTCGTCATCATTGGCGTAATCGTCCTCTGCGCCGTCATAGGCGCCATCGTGGGCGTGATCGTAGCCACCAGTTCGGGCTCGAGCTCGAGCTCGACGTCGTCCGGGGACTCGACGTCCCCCGATGGCTCATCCACTCCGGACGCGAGCGGCGGCGGCGGCACTGGTGCGTCCGCCCGCAAGCGGTCGGGCAACGCGTCGACGAGTGGCAACTCGTCGATCGTGTCCACTGTGACGTCCGACCCGACGAAAGGTACGATACGATTGTCTTGAGTTTGTATGTATTCCATCTCGGGAGCGACTCGATCGGGTCGATTATGCCGCATGGGGGGAAAGTCCGCTAAAAGCGTGGGTGGTATTCGTTTTGGGAGGGGGTGATGTACTGACTGACTTGCTTGACTTGTTTGGTGGTGTGGGGTATAGAGACCTATTCCGTCTGCGCGCTGGCTGTGGGCGACTGGGGCTCCACTGTGGTCGGGGACTCGTGTTGCAGTCGCTCCGGCACGTTCACGAACTACGACGTTGTCGCCGAAGACGTCGTGGCCAGTCTCATGGACTCGCAAGTGGGCAACATGGACGTGAAACCCACCTGTGTGCTGGGCCACGGCGACAGTTTGTACTGGACGGGCATCAACAGCGACAACGACCGCGACTCGCGCTTTGCGACGACGTTTGAGGGCAAGTTCAAGGGCCAGAACTTGGCCGGGATCCCCTTTATCAACGTCATGGGCAACCACGACTACGGCGGAGCCAGTTACGTGTGCTCGGACGGCGACTTTAGTGCCAAGTGCGAGAGCACGGACGACCTCATCACTGCGCTCGAGAACAAGTTCAAGTGGCAACAGGAGTACACGAGTCCGAACGACGACCGCTGGGTGCTCAAGGACCACTTTTACGTCCACTCGATCGAAGACGCGGCGTCGGGCGTGAGCATTGACATTTTCAACGTGGACTCGGGGGACGCTGACGTCCACGCTGCAATGCAAGTGTGCTGCCAGTGCTATGGCTACGCAGAAGGCGACGACAAGAAGTGCAAAGGTGCGGCTCGAGGCCACGAGTTCTGCGCGGGCGGAGACACGGAGATGTACGACGCGTGCTTTGCCAAGTTCAAAGAGTGGAGCGATGACTCGCGCAAGCAGTTGGCCGAGAAGGCGGCTGCGTCGAAGGCGACGTGGAAGATCGTCAACAGCCACTACAGTCCGAGTGTGCACTACGACGAAGCGGGCATGAAGGAGTGGTTTGACCTCCTGGCTGGTCTTGGGGTCCGTGTTTGGTTCTACGGCCACACGCACGGTGAGAAGCACGACCACTCCGATTCGCTCGGCATCCACTTTGTCGAGAACGGCGCAGGAGGTGGTATCCAGAAGGAGTCTGCCAGTGCGCTGACGACGTACGCGGCTGAGTACGTCAGCAACATTTGGACGTACTCGGGCGCCGAGTACGGTTTCTTTTCGGTATGTGCGTCGAAGGATTGGATGAAGCTGGAGTACCACACGGCGGACACGTCGTGGGCGTTCGGTTCGAGCATCGGCGAGACGACGATCGGTGGAGTGGCGACGAAGCACTGCTGGTATCTTCCAGCGGACGGCACGAAGGGCGAGGAATGCCCTGCGTAAGAGTCGGACCCTCAGCCGCGTCACCACCACACGGCTGCAGGAGAAGATGCAGTTGCTTGTCGTATACCAAGTGTAGTAGTGCGTAACGTGCCAAGAGCTTTTCCCCTCGCAGGAGAAGATCAGAGAGTTGCGAAGACATGCAACGCATGCAGTTCATACACATTTTGAGAGCTATAATGACGGAAAAGAGTACATATTGATGACGTCGCGTGTGTCTGTTGGTCAGTCGGCAGCTAAAGCACCACCAGCCAATTGTGCTGAACGAAACGAGGGCTCTGGCGCAGCAGAGTGCGATATAGGGCGCCGAATGTCGATGTAGGAAGAACGTGAAAATGCGTGTCAAGCGCAGACGGAGTGGTCGGAAGAGGACTTTCTTGGACAAATTCCTGGACAATTTCTAGGGTCAGCACAAATTCTGCGACTCGACAACTTTGATTTGCAAGCGACTGACTCGATTATAACTTCTTCCGTCCCGCAGTTCGTACGATATAATTAGCGCGAAAAATGCAGACCCCACCGCCACCACCACCACCACCATGCGCAATAACAGCAGCTGCTGCTACTACTACTACTACTACTACTACTACTACTACTACTACTACTACTACTACTACTACTACTACTACTACTACTACTACTACTACTACTACTACTACTACTACTACTACTACTACTACTACTACTACTACTACTACTACTACTACTACTACTACTACTACTACTACTACTACTACTACTACTACTACTACTACTACTACTACTACTACTACTACTACTACTACTACTACTACTACTACTACTACTACTACTACTACTACTACTACTACTACTACTACTACTACTACTACTACTACTACTACTACTACTACTACTACTACTACTACTACTACTACTACTACTACTACTACTACTACTACTACTACTACTACTACTACTACTACTACTACTACTACTACTACTACTACTACTACTACTACTACTACTACTACTACTACTACTACTACTACTGCTACTTCCGCCAACAGCGTTCATGCGTGCGCAGACCTCTGTCAGCATTTGTGACTCACGATTCGTTATGCTTGGGCGGTACCTGTCGCTGTACTTGACAGAAACTCACCCTATTCAGTATTGGACTTCTCACTACCGTCTACTACTTTCGTAGGTTCTAGTAGTGTGCTAAATCGGTGTGCGGACTATGCAGACTGTGACTTCTGAATCGTGCGCCTGTTTGATGGACACATTCCTAATGTAACGGTTGTCCCGGCCATTCGTATCTTGATGCAAGTTACACACATGATGAGCAGTGATGTTGAGACACAATGGAATCGGTCACTACTATCAGTATCGATCGAGATCGTTTGTACGAACATGCAACTGCATCGAGGCATAAATCCAATAAACAACACCTCCAATTGCTAACGGAAGAGCAACGTGCGTGTTATTACGTTTCTAGTAGTGCACATGTTGTACAACCCAGTGCTGCATTACCAGCGTGTCAAGCGCAGAGATGGATGTGATATGAGTATGTGCTTTCGCGGTCATGGAAGACGGACAAATAGTGCTGCAAAGACACAGCGGAAGACAACGGGAATTCGAACCGAGTGGAGGCGTATCGTCATTGTGCAACCTGTATGACAGGATCGAAAGAATGGCGAATATCGTGGACCGTGGGTGTCGGGGCTCAAGCTTTACGTAGGGGTATAAGCATTCCGTTCTACAATGCAGTGTGCGTGTTTGTCGTTCGCAAACAGCTGCGTGACATTAAGCTGGGTCAGCGGAAAGAGTGCATTTCGTCGGTAGTCGCACAACTCGACTAGATCGTGTGTGCTTTCGAGTCGGACCCGTTGGATCCGATACACGTTTTGTGCAAGATCTCGGGTTTGCTGACGATCGATTGATGGGGACCACGGAGGCCTATGTGAGTAGCTCTAGGTCGAATTTGATGTCTGGATCAAGCCCTTTGCCATCCAGCTCGATAGCGACATTCACCTCGGCCGTTGACAAGGTTGCGAAAACTTTGGCCAGGTACTACAGGAACGTTGATACCCGTTGCGAGAACAAACAACTAAATGGTCAGTTATTTGGACAGGATGGATGCCCGGGCTGAAGAATGAGACTGGCATTCCGTTCCGCATGCATCCATTGATAGCCAGGAGGCACACAATGTGCACAAAGCAGATCGGAGTAGCCGCAGCCAAGGCCATTGTAGGTCTGCTACAATACTTCGTTTGCCGTTGACGGCAGTTGAGTGCACAGATGTGCTCATTGTGTCACAGCCAGCGAGAGCAGTGCGTCTAGCGGGTCTATCCAGATCATCATCTGAAGCACAAGGAGGTGCAACATTCTCGACAACACAGTGAACGTCGCGGCATCACGTTTGCTACTCAGATTGCAGCTACTTCCAGCTACAGCAGCAGCACGAGTGCCACCGGACGAGTCTATTCTGTAAACTGTATCGGTGTGAGCATTGCAGTGGATCACTAACGAGATCACCCGATGGACACGGACGCAATCCGTTACCGTCACGCAGGCGCCACCCGTATACACATCGTATACGCCCCGCAACCATCTCGGTCGTCAAAAACACCATCGAACCCTCAAAGAACCTTTTCTCGCTACACTACCGCATGGGCTTCTCATAAAAAGCACTTTACTACTACTACCACCACCAAATCTCGAAACCCATCGCCCCGCTCCCCGACAACACGTTGCCATTGATTGTACTGACATACGGTAGAGTCAGCCGTCGCCCCTCCCCGGCCGCCACCAGTCAGTCCTCTTCGTACCCGACCACCTGTTCGACGCGCGCATGGCCGAACTGTACCAGGAGATCGACGACGAGGCCCAACGCCTCGCGCGCGGGTCGTCGCAGGCGCGTCAGTACTGGGACCGCAAGACGTATTCGTCGTTCACGGAGCAAAAGTCCGCCATGGCGCACTCGCAGACGCTCTACGTGGGCAATCTGTCGTTCTTCACGTCCGAGGCGCAGCTCTACGAGTGGTTCAGCCGCGTGGGCCACGTCGACCGCGTGATCGTCGGCCTCGACCGCTTCAAGAAGACGCCGTGCGGCTTTTGCTTTGTCGAGTTCAGCTGCCACGCCGAGGCCGCCGCGTGCGCGCAGTTCCTCAGTGAGACGAAACTCGACAGTCGCGTCGTGCGCTGCGAGTTGGACGGCGGCTTCCGCGAAGGCCGTCAGTTCGGTCGCGGGCTCTCGGGCGGTCAGGTGCGCGACGACCGGCGCGCGAAAGACGACTACGACGCGGGCCGCGGCGGCTTTGGGCGGGGCGACGACGCGACGGCCGACGGTCACCACTTTCGGCGGTCGGTGCAGGGGAAGCGGCTGCGGAAGGAGAGCGACGCGCTCGAGGGCGGACCGACGAGTCGCGCGCGACGAGAAGAGTCGCCGGCTCGGGCGAAGGGCTTTGACGACGACGAGGGGGCGACGAAGAAGGAGGAGGAGGAGAACCCGCGGTTTCGTCATCGGGAAAACGAGGATGGGGATGGCGATAGAGACGACAACGAGGATGTGGTGGACGAGGGGGGGAAGGAGGAGGTGGAGGTGGATGCGGGGGAGACGACGGAAGCGGCGTAGATGGAGGGGGAGGAGATTGTTGGGGGGGGTCGACGGTGAGGGTGAGGTGGAGCTGGAGGTCGCGTGCGTTGGGCGGCTTTGCTACTTGACTTGTTCAAGTGGAAGTTTGGTTGCTGTGCACTTTGCCCTTTGCACGCCTCAGATACTTACTACTGCCACTTTGACACGTACGCGTTCGTGAGCGACGTGGGCCGAAGCCACTGGAGTGATGATGGACGCCACGAGGAGCGACGTTGTCAAAGCGGATGGCGCGGACTATTGCTATCACGCTGCGTCTCGAGTCACGATGGCTTGACGAATGTGTTGGTTGGCGGTGGGTCACTAATATCCATTGTACAAGCTCTACTTTTGTCGCATGCCTTCCTCTGGTCCAGAGGTTTTCGAAGAAATTTCAAGTGCACGAGCAGATAATGCGATCCCGACAATGCACAATGTACATCAGACTATGAGCACTGTCTGCCCATAACTGCCACGCTCTCGTACTACTCGGGTCCAGCCAGACGCTGGCCAAGCATCCGTCGTCATGGACGGACGATCGATTTGCCGACACAATCATCGCGAGCTTTCGATCGCTGGCCGAACGCGCTACTACCACTGCCGCAACTTACATCACAACTTGTTGACCTCTCGACGGCACTTTCGCCGAACGTTCTTCGATGCTGAGAACCGTCGGCGAAGACGTCGTGGACAACGGACAACTCTTGTCAGGCGGTAGAAAAGATGCGCCTCTTTGTGTATGCTGCACTTTTGATGCCGTGGATAGTCGTCACGGGCGCTGTCCCACCGGCGTCAACGACATCGAGAGTCGGGTTGGCAAGTCACTCATCAACTTGACAGCCGCTCTCGTGACAGCGTCGTGATCAGAGACGCGATACAGAGACTTGTACGTGGCATGTCGACAAACGAGGAAAGCTGTTGTACGCTGAGCTTGGCGCTCCTCTCATCTCATTTCGTCAAATAGGACATAGACACTTCGGATCGTTCGACTGTGGCGTGCAACATCCATAGCGATGCGATGTGCAATGCGATGTGCGTTGCAGATCGAGCAGTGACAAACATACCTCGAGCAACAATGTCACGATCCAATTTCGTGGTGTGGGCCTGTCTGGACAAAGACAGCATGACACCTCTCTACTCATCGTTGAACATCGTTTGGCTCCATAGGACGCACATGGCTCAAGCATAGCGCGTACCGAGCTGATCAGTACTGCTCGTGTCTGCGTTGACTCTCGCAACTCAACGCGACGAGTCTGCCGATGCTTGTGCTCGAGCAGCTGAAGAGGTCATCGAGGCTTTTGCAAACGCAGGAGACGAATGAAAGCATAGTGTCACTGGAGGAGCGTTTCGCATCAACTCGACGTCGTCCAGTTCGAGACATGTCAGGTCCAAGATGACTACTGCTCTGACCAGTCGATCCCTCCAACGTACGCTGCTACAACTGCTGCTGCTTTAACCACATGGCTCCTTCAGTCACGATCCGGCAGTTTACAATCAGCAGTCTGCAGTCAATAGTCTTCGAGCGTGGCCTTCGTCTCGACTGTAGAAAGCTGCCACGACCATTGCTATCCTGGACATATGTGGAAAGAGATTCCCATGCAACCAAACTTGGCGACAAAGCTGCCAAGTCAATGAATGCACATAGCGATGTAGCAACAACTTCTCATCACAGCGACGGAGCACATGGGTGTGCGTTCTTTTGTGTTCAAGTTCATCAGGTCGACAAGAGGTGGATGCAGTGGGTAGTACGTCTGTGGCGTCCCACGTTACCAGCGCTTTTGCACATTTGCTCTCGTTGTGCTGCGTCGATTGGTCACGCGTAATGCCCCCACATCTTCGAGAAGAGGGACGGAGCAACGACATGAGCGATTGCACAACAGAGTTGCAGAAAACGCTGTACATGGAGCGAGCACGCCGTCCTCCTGTCGAGCGAGAGACCTCAACGCCTGACGCTGTGGCTTCTCTGACACCACTTCGTTGCTCGTCAACGGTCGGTCCGCTGGAATTCGGTGGAGGCAGTTGCATCGTCTTCGTCTTCCTGTTTTGTGGCCTCCTGTCCGTCCGAATGCCACTGGCCACCACTACAGCAGAGAGACACCACAGGTGGACCTTCGGACGCGGGTGGCTTCGCGCCACCAAAGAGCCCACAGACTTTGTGTCTGCAACGGCAATCACTTGATTCACTAGACAGACTGTTGGCTACGACGTCACGCTGCACTTTGGATGGCCGTCCAGCGATCTCGTTCGAATTGCCACCGCCACCGCCTCCTCCTGTTTCTGTCGAGAGAGGGACTTGTCCGTTTCTGACCTGCAACTGTCGGTCCCGACTTTGTGTCGGTCGGAAAGACATCGGACGTTCTGCTGTGCAAACGTACGCTCAGTCAGTCAATCTGTCCGTCAGTCAATGGGGTACTACGTCCGTCCGTCCCCGTCCGTCCGTCCGTCCGTCCGTCTACTTCCACGCACTTGTCAATTCACTCCATTCGCTTCAGCCGCTGCGCCATTCCGCCCACTCGTCTCGAGTCTTCCGCAGTGCTACAACTCCACAAACCCATCCTCCTGACCTTCACGATGGAATGGGAAGCGCCACTCCCCGTCTGGATCGACTCCTCCATCGACATTGACATTGACGAGATACCCTCTTCCGACTCGGTGACTGCGCTCCTGATGGACGTGGACGACATTCTGATGCCCTACACCCCCAAAATGGACCACACAACGACACACTCGACCGCGCAGCTCTCCCCGTTCGACAACCTGCTGGACGTCGCCCCACTGACGATCAACACCCTCATCGACGTTGACGCGTCGCCAGAGCGAACGCAAAGAGACGCGACACTGCCGAGTTTCGACCCCATCGCGGACAAAACGAGCACCAAATGTGCTCGTCGGTTGGACCCTTTTGGTCGTGACCAGCGACGCAAGAGCAAACAACGGGGCTACGAGACAAACTACCGCAAGCGCCAGAAAGGCAGACGCGACACCGATCAGCTCGAATGGGTTCGACTCGAGAGTCAGCTGCGAGAAATGCTCTCGAAGCGCACGGCAGTGGTCATCGAAGGCTCGAGTGGGACCTCCGAGTCGGGAACGCGTCCGTCGATCCGTCCGCGGTATCTCGAGCTGCTGCACGAAGCGCGAGCGCTGAGGGAGTCCATGGCACTGGCCAACTGCTTGTGGGCCGAGACCCGAGCACTGGCGTTTTGGGGCGGGGCGAACAGCAAGACGCGAGACATTCGGGAACAGATCAACACGTTGCCGAGTCTACGGGCGTGCCACACGCTGGAGTTCTCCTGGTAAGATCGAGAGAAAGAGAGAGAGGTACGATAGACAAGAGAGAGACAATGAGAGAGAGAGTGAGAGATCAATGCAGTAGACAAGAGAGAGACACTACCGTTGAGTCTTGGAGACGTCCACAGTTGGCCACGTACGTTTTGTCCGTGTGTAGATTCGTAGTGACTGAGTGGATAGTGTCGCATTGCGAATAAGCGTCACATGTACTCGAGTGAAATGTAGACGTCTTCAGCAGATATGGAGTTGCTTCGTGTCGATGCAGACAACACCGCACGACGTTCTTGAGGATAAAGTCGTCAATGGTATCGTCTGGACGCGTCAAAGCGCAACTTGTCCATCCAGTACAACAACGAAGTGGGGGTGGAATGGAAAGGTGCGGCCACGATACGCAGCAATCACAAAGCTTGAGCATCAACAGGTTGACGTCGGCTCGACTGCAATCATATGGCGAGTATGCTCTTCATCGACGATGTCATGCGCTTGCAACCAGTCCGAGAGTAGTAGTCCTGTCACGCTATTGTGAATACCGCGTCCAGTTTCGCCTCTTGTCCACTTCACATTCATCGCGTTCGCATGACCCGTCTCGACTCCGCGTCACATCTGCCCATGTTCAGCCTGTCTTTGCGATCGTCTCGGGTCAACATCCGATCGGTCACGATCTGCCGAACAGTTTCGACTCACGACGGTCCGACGATGTGCGGCTCGTGTAACGGTGACGAGTCCACAAGTGGGTGACGTGGTAGACTTGTACAGGTGTCTATCGACTGTGCCACGCATGCCTCGAAAGTAGGAGTCAGCAATTTTCGGTGAGATCAGCTGTTGAATGGAATGATTTGACATCCATCGCTTTATCGGGCACAACTGAACGATTACTTGACTCATGTTGCACCCAAGTGAAGGCAGAGACCCTCTTGCACGTATTGCGAGACCTGACAAAGTCCATCGGATGCGAAATGGGAGACAATAAAAAGCTCATCGGATGGAGAGTTGGTCTAGAAATCTCAAGACATCAAAACGTGGCAACGAGCGCTTCATGTAATCGTCGCCCCATCGGCTACGACTGCACGATCGATGCTCGAGTCTCCAGTTGTACCACGCAAAACAGGGGGTACACGAGGCTGCGACAGAGCTCGTAGATGTTGTCCGTCGTATCGATGTCGCATTCACTCTACTTGCAGATCAGCTTGTTGTGCACGTTAGTCTGACGCTCACACCGAGTTGTTTGCCTCGTTGTTTGCCTCGTTGTTTGCCTCGTTGTTTGCCTCGCACACCGTTTTCGACGCTTTTCACTTGTTTGACCTTTTCCTGTGTCACCTATTCGACTATAGAGGCATTACTAAAAGGAAGCGATTGGCCGTTTGTTCCTCATACAAACAGCATAAACGTCATCCTCCACAAAAGCGATTGCACTCTTACTTCTTCGACGATACGCAGCCTTACTTGACGTGAGCTCGGAGCCAAAGAAAGCACGTAGTGTTTGGCCGTTCTTGACAGTTTGGTTGAACCAGCCATACACAATTCAGATCTGTTGCAATGTGAGCCACCGTCGCATACAACGCAAAAGGGAAAGCCAAATCAGGTGGGCAACAACGGCTTCCAGCTACATGGTCGGTTGCATGGGACATACCGTCGCATGAACAACAGTATCGACAGCCGAACGGCCAAACCTGGTGAGAAACGACGGCCCGCTTTCAGATTTACCGGACGAAACT